AGGGCCCCGTGAAGGAGGCGATGTTGCTTGGCGTGTCGACGAATATGGCCATCGCGTTGAGCGGCTTGGGGATGCGGGATAAGGGAAAGGCCATATTGCATGCTATTGCTGTTAGAGCGAAAAAGGCGGGTGATGAGCACAACTTGGTCCGCGCAGTCGCTAATTTGGCAGAGGAGGCGAGCGAGGATGAGGACTGGGAGCTATGTGAGACGTATACAAGGGAGTGGGTCCGGCTGGCGCGCAAGCAAGGGGATGCGCAAGATGAGGCTGATGCGTTGAGAAAGTTGGCCTCGGTGCTTGCGGAGAAGAAGATGTTTGAAGAGGCGAGGGAGATGCTGCAGAGGAGCTTGGTCCACGCGGGGACCCGGGTGGCCAAGGAGGAGGCGCTGCATTTTTTGAACCTTGTAGAGCAGGAATTGGAGGATCGCAAGAAGGAGAAGGACGTGATGGAGAGGGGCATCGTAGAGGCGGACGGGTTTCAGAGGGAGGGCAACTTTGTGGGAGAGGCCAAGGCCAGGCTGATGGCGGGGAACGCCGCCTTTCGCCTGGGCTTGTGGGAGGACGTGGAGCGGTTGCTAGGGAGGTACTTTGAACTCGTGGATGAGTTTGGCTGCGATACTGGCGTCACGGGCGTCAAGCAAGAAGTGCACAACACGGCTGTCGCCAATGTTGGGGAGGCCATGTGGAGTATGAAGAGGTATGAAGAGGCGGTCAAATGGGCGTCACGGGAGCTCACTTTGTTTAGTGATGACATCCCCGGGCAGGCGCAGGCCTGGTGCAATCTAGGGGTGTATCTCGACGATTATGGCAAGAGGGAAAACGCGATAGAGGCCCTCAAGAAGAGTGTCGAGCTGGCAAAGCAGGTCGGCGAGGAGGACGTGTGCAAGCGTGCGCAGAATAATCTCGAGCTTATTCGAGCCGAGTTGGACGGGACTGGTGACGGCGATGGGGAGGGTGAACAAGCTGAAAACGATGAACAAAATGAGCAAGGTGAACAGATTGAACAGGATGAACAGGAGCGCGAGGGGCCTCGGGGAGAACCTGACCCGGTGGTGATGGATGTCGATGTGGTGGAAGAGGCAGAGGGTGGTCTGGCGCAGCAAAGCAATGAGCAACAGCGACAAGAAGCGAACAGAGGTGGTGAAGTTGAAGCCGATGTCCCCCCCAACACTCGGCGAGAGCTACTGCAGCAACAAGCGGAGCTGGATTTGAATGGAGAACGGTCTGTGATCATCGATTCAAGCCAGCCCATGCGGGCAGGACCTGCGATGCCGACAGGACCTTCCTCGGCGCACAGCCAAGGGGTGTCCTCCCGGCGGAGCAGGAGGGAGCGCACAAGTCTGCCTGCCAACTGGATAACGCAGGGGACGCGGGTGTCAGCAGAACAGTCGCGGTCGCAACATTCGCGGGGCACCACCGGCGGAAACAGCTCGGCAGGCGTGAACAAATTTTTCGACCTGGCCTCCGAGTACAAGCGTGTGTGCTCGCGGCGGATGTACCCTACGCTCCCCTGCCGGCCCATGGTGGTAAGCGCGCTGCGGTCGCTGTCGTCGGTGCTACTTGCGCGCGAAGCGGTGGACGACGCGACACTGGTGCTGGACAAGCTGGACCTGTCGGCGCTGTTCCTAAGCAACGACGACGTGGGGGCGATCTTCGAAACGCTGGGCATACTCAGCGATGAGCAGCGCGTGTTTGTGGACATGCGGCTCAACCCCATGGTGACGGCGGCGGCGTACGAGTGCGTCAACCCGCGGTCGTTCGGGGCGGCGCGGCGGCTGCACGCCGTGAGGAAGGTGGACTTCTCGTGCGCCGGAGTGAGTGCCAAGGCGCTGCTGGTGCTGGGCGACGCGCTCAGCGCGGACGGGGCGCTCGCCAACGTGGGGCACGTGAGCGTGAGCAAGAACGGGCTCGGCAAGCAGGGCAAGGCGACGGCGTTGGGCGTGGCGCGGGTGCTGCTGCGCGCGAGGCAGGTGGAGGTGGTGGACCTGTCGCTGAACCTGCTGAGCAACACGTTCATGCGGGACCTGGTGGAGGCGCTGGACGCGGGGCGCGGGGCGGGCGAGGGGGCGGGCGTCGGCAGCAGCGGCAGCAGCGGCAGCGGGGTGCGCGTGCTGGACTTGCACCTGAACAACCGCGAGGCGCCGACGGCGCTGCTGGACGGCGAGGGCACGGACGCGATGGTCGGGTGGTTCCGACGGCTGTTCGACGTGATGCCGGGGCTGGAGAGCGTGGACGTGCGCGCGTGCGGCGGCGGCAGCGCCGTGCGCAGAGGGCTCAGGGAGCTCGCGGACGGGTTCGGCGCGATGGGCAGGAACATCGTGACGGTGTCGGCCGCTGTGCACGACGACCTGGGCGGCGGGCGCGGCGCCGGGGTGACGGGCGGAGGGGGCGGCGATGATGGTGGCGTAGCTAGCGGCGTTTTGCGGGGGGGCTTGTGAAGGGGGTTGTATGCGGCATGCGGGGTGGGCGGCGGAGTGTGTGTGTGTGTGTGTGGGAGCGGCCGCTGTGACCCGGTCGCGAGACTGGGCTGGAAACCGGGCCAGGTTTGTGCGCGTGACGACGTGACGCGTGGAATGCTGATCTGGGATGCTGATCTGGGATGGTAATCTGGGATGCTGATCTGGGATGCTGTTCCGGATGGGCCAGTGCCACGCCGACACGCAGTTGTGGCTTTGTCTGCAAGATGCAACTTGTGGGTAATTGGTTATGGATGTCGTTCCTGGGCACTGTGCTCGAGGGCATATCTTTGGTGGGATATCATATCATGATATAGCCGGGACGGTAGGCCGTCGCGTGAGCCGCTTGAACACACGTGTGAAATCCGTCAGGCAGAAACAGAAAAAAACCTCATTTATTATTGTGAAGATAGATGGTCGTTTACGGTTGGAGCTCCCGCGCACCCGAGATATCAGCGGTAGCGAGAGTACTCTTGACTATCTATCGAAAAGTAAACAAAGAAAGAAGAATATCAGAGAATAGACGTGTGAGGGAAGCCCAGGGAAGGGCGTCCTGACGGGGATGGGTGGGCAAAAGAGAAATACTGTAGACATAGCCGAGAAGTCACGAGACTCTCACCCGGCCGTCGGGGATATGTAGGACAGTGCACGCTCGGTCGAATGCCAGGTGTCGGCATGTCACTCGCTACTCCCTGGACAGCTTCACCCGCATACACAAGTGTATACAGACGCAAAAATCGCATTCTTTGGCTTCCTCTCTCGCTTCTTCGCCACCGAAGTATGACGAACCCAACTCTGCAGCCGTCATCATTCCGTCGTGCCCTCCGCAAGAGTACCGCGGTGAGAGTACCGCCGGTGAGAGTACCGCGGTGAGGCAGGCCAGAAAGGGGGAAACGGGCATTCCCGGATCGTCATGCAGGGGGATTATGGTCGGTTAGAGGGGGACCAGGGGGCCGAAAAGGGGGGTTTATGCAAACACGGTCGCATTTGTCGGACGGTTGGCAGCTGGTGTCTGCTCTGTGGTTAAGGAGAAAGGATGGCGGGCAAGAAGCGCGGGGTAGTAGGGATGGGGTCGAGGAAGCAAGAGGCGGATTGGGCAAGGGTAGCATCAGATTTTGCTGAAATCTTGGTCGGTGAGGGACAGTGGATATGTGTCTTGGACTGGGCGCAACAGTGGAGAGCACGGTCCTGTCGTCCTGTCGGCCCCGCCAGTAGCTTACCCTTCAAGGGGTTACATTATACCGCGTGCACCCTGCGTCCCGTACTTTTCTTGTGACCCTCGCCCTCGGGAGATTTCACACCTGCCCAAGTGGGCGCGCGTGCGAGGCCCAATCGCCCATCGGCGTATAAAAGCTTGCAGTCATATCCCAGTAACGAGATTCTTCCCGAGTACAGGACCGTGCATGTAGAAACCTCAATGATCACGCACCTCCCAGATCTCCCCTTCCACATTGTATATATAAGAAAGTAGGCTCTGCTCTTCTTATGGTGCCCCGCACCATTCCCCCGGACCAGTCGCCACCATTCGCCACCATTCAGCATCACCATGTCGGTCCGCGACACGACGATTCCCGACCTCATGACGGCGGTGCAGTGCCACGGCATCCGCGACTACCGCGTCACGACGCAGAGTGTTCTGCCTGCGACGGGGCTGCAGCCGGGCGATCTGCTGGTGCGAGTGACGCGGTGCGGCATCTGCGCCGGGGACGCCAAGTGCTTTGCGGGCGCCGCGCGCTTCTGGGGCGGGCTCGGGCACCCGCGCTACGTGCAGACGCCCGTGA